AACTCCCTCAACGCAGAGTCCGCTTTCAAGAAAACAACGAACAGAGAGATAGTACAGTGAGCAGGCAAACGGTGCAATGGCCTTTTCTCCGTCACCAGAGCTCCGCTTCCGATGTCGCCTCGTCGAGGCCTTTTACTGGCTTTACGGGGAGCTTCCCGGACCCGCAAAGTTTTCCACCAAAAGAACCAAAAGAACCGACACGAAGAGCGACGTGGGCGCCGGGGAAGCGCAACTCGACGGCCACAATTCTGGAAAATATCGTCCCGGATTACATCATCAACTACATCAGGGGAGAGACGCCCGAGACCATGGCGCAGCGGAGAGAGGAACGCAAGAGGCAGACGGAGAGCCCAGACACATTGGAGGCACAGGCCACCGCGGCGAATCACGCGGCCGCGCAAGGATTTTACGACGAGGCGACCACGGATCGACCGTCGACAGGCGAGAACGAGATTGGGGATCTCGAACGGATGCTGCCGCCGGCGGACGAGAAGCGCGGAGGCGGAGGGACCTTAAGCAGGATGAAGTCGGGCTGGAGGGCCGGCATCGCGTTGAACATCATCATCGGCTTCGCCATCCTCATCGTCGCCATCGTGTGCCTCGTCCTCGCGCTCGTCGTCGTCGGCATGATCAGGGGCGAGAGCATCATCTTCAAGGGCTCCTGCGCGACGGCCGAACAGCTCAAGATTGGCCTCTTTGTCGCCATCAACGTCATCACCATTGTGCTGCTGTCAGCGGCCAACTACGTCTTCCAGGTCCTGAGCAGTCCCACGCGCATCGAGATTGAGATGGCGCACGACGGGAGGCGGTGGCTCGACCTCGGGATCCCTTCTTTTAGAAACCTGCGTTTCGTCTCGAAACCGCGGGTTGTCATGACGGTCATCATTATGCTGGCGGCCGTCAGTACCCAAGTAATGTATGCGCGCGCTGCTGCTGTTACTGCTGAAAGCATGCTTCCCTTCATCAGATCTGACAGGCGTTGACTTTTTCACTAGTTATAATGCCGTAATCTTTTCGACACAACCTGGCTACGCCCACCAGGTCGTCTTTGTCACACAAGAGTTCCTTGCCTCGGGCCAGTTTAGCAACGCCTCAGAAACGAACGCCGGCGGTCTCTCCAGAGGCGATATTCTCGACCTCCAAGACCTAGCGTCCCGAAAGCAGCTCACCAACTTCACAAACGCTGAGTGCGCAAGTCAATTCGGCGGCGTCTACCAAAGCGACTTCACAGCCGTCGTCCTCGTCACGGATGTCATCGCTCCCAGCAACGCCCTCGTCCAGACCCAAAAGTCCGGGTCCTCCCTCGCCCCCTTCATCGTCAACCCGTCCAACCCCACGCAGATCAAGATCAACAGCTCTTCGGTCGAGTACTGCCTCGCCCGCCCCGAGGACCGCAACCCCTGCACCGTCGTCCTCAACGGCTCCCTCCTCGGCGTCATCGCCATCCTCAACCTCGTCTCCGTCTCCGCCATCGGCGCCGTCTACTTCTTCACCGGCTTCGAGCCCCTCGTCACCCTCGGCGACGCCCTCGCCTCCTTCATCTCCCAGCCCGACCACACCACCCGCGGCATCTGCCTCCTCGACAAGACGGACGTCAAACAGGGCCGCTGGGGCTACCGCGAGGCCAAGTACTGGACCTCGCGCGACCACTTCTGGTTCCAGACACCCGGTTTGACCCTCTGGACCTTTTGGCTCATCACCTGGGCCACGCCAGCCGCCCTCGCCGCCGCCGCGCTCGCCGTCTCCCTCGGCAAAGACCCGTCCTCCTCCCTCGGCGCCTTCGGCAGCGCCCTCCCCCACGAGCTCTACCCCCTCCCCAACGGCGGCGCCCGCGCCGGAGTAGCCATCGTCGCCGCCCTCCCCCACCTCCTCCTCGCCGCCCTCTACCTCTCCACAAACGCCCTCCTCTCCTCCTACTACCTCTCCCACGAGCTGAGCCAGTACGCCCTCCCGGGCATCTCCCTCCCGCTCCGCGTCAGCTCAGGCCGGCCCCGCGGCACCCAGACGACAAGCCTCTACCTCACCCTGCCCCGCCCCCTATCCTGGCTCCTCCTCGCCTTATTCGCGGCGCTCGGCCTCGTCCTGAGTAACGCCGTGCGCATGGTGTCCGTCGACATGCGACCCGCCACCCGCGATGACAGCTTCCCCATGCCCATCAACGGCGTCGGCTTCAGCGGCGTGGGCCTGCTCGCGTTCCTGGCGCTGCTGGTCGTCGTCGCGGCGCTGGTGCTGGGCCTCGGTCTCCGGCGCGCGGACCCGTCGCCCACGAGCGTCGACGGGGAGAAGGCGGGCAATCCGCTCGTGCTGCAGGGCGGCGGGTGTTCCGCCGTGATTACCTCGCGGTGTCACCGCCCGCCGAGCGACGTCGGCGCCGCGTATAGCAACGTCGCGTGGGGCGTCGTCGATCAGGATCCCGAGACTACGTTTGGGCACGCTACGTTCTCGAGTCAGGGCGTGAGCGTCTTGGATCCTGCCAAGGGGTATGCTTGATCTTGGTCGCTTCGTTGGGTCACCTTAGTGTTTGCATATTGTTTCTTATTCCATTTCCCGTTCAGCTGTACATATTTTCTCTTTCGGGTTCTACAGTACCCCTTTTGTCATGAGTCGGGGTCACGAGTGCTCTCTGCTGGTTTCTTGTTTCGAAAAAAAAAGTTTCTGCATCTGGGAAAGGCATTGTAATGGTGTTAATTGGGGAAGTGTGTGTGTATGTATTATTGTTTTAAGCAAGGTCGGAGGGCAAAGTTGGTCTGGCTTGGTAGTCAAGGACTTGAGAAACGGCATAGAGATGGGAAACGAAATGGATGATGACGATTGGTGTCGTTCCCTTCGGCCAAATGGATGAACGGGACGGGACTGGACTGGACTGGACTGGACAGTCGTAGGGGAACGGTTATTGTAGTACGTTTATACCCTAGTGTTTTGCTTTGGCTGGTCAGGGGAACCAGGGACACGAGAAATACAGAGGAAGAAAGCCTCTCTGGATGAGGCTTGAGTTGAATTCAAGAAGTCTTTGGAACACAGTTTGGGCGTGTCACGATGTTGATATGTGAATCTATTCCCCTCCATGTGGGAACTCGTCTCGATATACCCCTCAAAGGCAAAGTTGCTCTGTTCCAGTCGCCCTTCCGCCCGCTTCGGAGCCTCTTTTACTAGGCTCTGTTTTGTTGGATAATTCCTATGTAATACACTGGAGTGTAGAAAGTCGTAAGCAACTTCTTAGAATCGATTTCATCGTATGTCAAGGCAATCATTCGTGACGGGGGCAACAAATTGAAATGGTAAGACATTGTATCCTTGATCTGTATCTGTATCTATATCTAACGATATGGAAGATAGTTTATCGACCTCTCTTTACATCGCCAGATCTCTAATCCAAACAAAACCCTATAACCCAAGCCAACGCCAGAGTATCCAAACCATTATCTCTCAAAGCAAATTCGCACGCTATGCACCGGGTCGTCTTCAAACACAAAACGACTTGACGATAAAACAAATGAAAAGACAATCGAGTCTGACACGGCGCCTAAGCAAAGACGGGAGCAATGTTGGCCTTCTCGATACTGGGCGTGGCAACGCTGAACACCTCGGGCCACAGGAACATCTTCTCCTCGGCAGGCGTGATGGCGACGAGCTTGGGGATCGCCGACTTGCTCGACATGCGTCTCCACATGTTGGCGCGCGGGTTGAATGCGGCGGGCATACCCTTTCCGCCCGTCTTCTTGTCGTCCTCGTCGCGGATGCGCTGGATCTCGGTCTGGATATCGGCAAAGGTGTCAAAGGGGATGTAGGCAATCGAGTTCTCGACGCAGTACTCCTCCAGACGCAGGCCGCGGCGCGCAAACAGCACGTCGGCCTGGCGTGCGGCAGGCAGATCGGAGACGCCGTCACCGATGAAGACGATGAGGGGGATGGTGCCGTCCTCGCACGCCATCTCGGCCTGCTCGCGGGCCTCGCCCATGGAGAGCGCCTTGTCATGGCCGAGCTCGTTGTCGTGGCGCCAGATGGGCTTCCAGGCAGAGCCGTCGTCGGTGATCTCGGCCTCGTTGGCAACGATGTCAATGTGCGCCGAGGCGTCCTCGCCGAGAAAGGTGTCGAGGACGCGGCGGAGGATGGGCTTGAGGCCGGCGGAGATGACGTTGAAGGGGATCTCGTTGGCGATGCAGTACTTGTGGAACTCCTGGAAAGCCGGGTCGATCTCGAGCTTCTTCTCCATCACCTCGAAGCCGTCGTCAAAGGGGACGTTGAGGGATCCCCACATCTCCTCGGATACATCGCGGAAGGAGCGCTCGCCAGACTTGATTTGCTCGTCGAGGATCTCGCGCTGCTCGGAGCCGCAACCGTGGGCGTCGAAGAGAATGTGTCCGGTGTCCTGCATGAAGATTGTTCCGTCAAAGTCTGGAGGATTCATTGTCAGCAAGTGGCGAGATCCAGGGGTGAACGGAGGTGATCTTACCTGAGAAGCAGATGATCTTGCGCTTCTTGTTTTGCGAAGCAGGCAGGCCAGACTCTGCGGCGGCCTTGACTGTAGAGGGAGAGATGGCGATAGGCATTGTGGCGATTGGAAGATTGTGTATACTTTGGTTGTATCAAGATGTAGGTATCTACTGGCACTGGAAGAGATACTTATAGTCTCGATTAGATACGCAAAAGAGGTTGGGTAGTTGGGAATTAAAGTTGTCACGTCCAAGTTTCAACGGGAGGTGTCCAGCTTTAATAGAAGTCAATGCAATGCCCACATGCGATACTGCCGAACTCTCGACCGAACCGGTAACGGCAAAGAAAGGGGGAAAAGGCGCAAAGCCAGCCGGCCAGCCAAAGTATCCTCTTCACGATGACGGCCTGAATTCCGAAAGGTAGTTAGCTTTTTCTTCACACCCCTCCCCGCTACCCCCGTCCCTCCCCCGAGTCCTCCGCCAAATACGGGGCGTCAGGGCGCGCCAACCTGCATGAGCAAAGGGCTTACACGAAAGAGAAACTAGGTATACCAGAACGAGGGGGTCATGGATCATGGCCGAACAAGAAGAACCCTAGCCAAGGCCAGCCAGCCTTTGAGCGAGAAGGACTCCGCTCTCGTTGGGATTCTCAAAAGCCGCTTCCGGGATGCTACTGCACAATGGCAAGCGGCCGAGACGCCGACTCGGACGGCGTCAACGGGCGCACCGCAGACTGCCAGTCGCCAATGGACACCACATACGATGACGGCATCTCACAGGGCCCCAAAGGGCAAAGGCATCTGGCTTTTCCGAACTATGCCCACTTGGGACGTTCTAGCGCGAACGAGGAGCAGGGCCAGATTCGAGCAGTGTATGGAGTATGACTGGCTATTTCCTTTACCCCCCTTTCTCTCTGACTCTTGGGCTTTTTTTCAGAATTGCGGGATGGGTTGGCTGTACCTATTGCCACGCTCCCACACCCTCGCACGCGGAACGGAAGGCGGCCGGCTGTGCAATCTGACAAATGGCTGTGGGCGATGTGGCAGACAGCCACTTGGGGGCTCCAACCAGGTCTCAGAGTCTAGCAGAGCCTCTGATGATCGCCAGGAGAAAGATTTCTCCAACGAACCCGGAACGAGTCCAGTGGAATGGCAGTCCTTGGTTCGTACCTTGTTGGCATTCAGCCCTCCCAAAGCCGACATTCGAAAAGGTCAAAAACAAAGTGAACAAACAAAACCGTTTCCGACTGTTCGAGACAGCCACCAGAATGGCCGATAATGGCTGCAGAATCCGATGCTTCGGTCAGCGAAGCGTGCCCAATCAGTTCACTTGAGCAGGGGGGAAGGATCGGGAGGCGACATGATACATCCGTCCGAAAAGTGAGAGAGTGTGGGAAAAAAAGATAAAATCAACAGAGAAAGAAAGGTGCCACCAAACAGAACATTCCAGCCTCCCCCCCACCCCCTCCCCCGAACCACGGTCGAAAGCCTGGCCGCATCAGTACATAGGTAGACATGGGGGAAATGGGAAATATGCCACCGAGAGCGGAGTCTGAAGCCCGTTGTCCCCACATTCACTGCGCCGAGCTGATCCAAGCAAAGCAGAAAACGTAAGGAAAGTTGGGACATGAAGATGCCAGAGAGGATGAAGGTGCTGCATTGAGGGTGCGGTAGACGGCATTGCGTCGTTCCATGATGCGTGCAAGGATACATGGTGACAAGCCCACAGTCGTTTCTTTGCCAACAGCAGAGGCATGTGGCATTTGGTTGGCGGATGGGGGAAAAAACATGAGGAATTGATGGGAAAATGGCCAAATTCGAGCTACCTGCACGGTGATGTCATTCCGTCCCTCAGTGGGGCTCTTTATCGCGTTGCTTGAGGCGTAAAGTACCTTACTCCGTAGTTGCTGAGAAGAGCACCAAAAGGGCTCTAATATGCCCTGGTCCGCGTCCGACATGCAGTTTAACTGCGCTTAACCTTCAACGAGATGCGCTAGCCAAGTGACTTTTTGTTGTAACGCGATGCGACGCGATGCAGGCAAGCTTGGCCACGGTGTACGTGCCTTGGTCGTTTGGCCCCCGAGTCGTTACTAAGTTGCTGCTACACTCCAGGTCGTCTAGCCCAAGGCCCGTGGAGACGTGCATATGCATTGTGAAAGGGGCTTGAGCCTTGAGCCTTGAGGACGAGATCGAAACAATCGAGGCCGGCAATGCTGGGGCAAACGAGCGGAGCCTCCATCCTTCTCCAGTCTCCATGCTCGGAACCTGGACGTGCCCTCCATGTTCGCTGCCCTCCAATGAATCCATCCCATCTGTAGCGGCCCGGTCTGCTCATTCGTCTGGTTTCCGGTTGACTGAGGCCTCGACGAGTCCTCGCCATGCAGTTGTGCGAGGAGCATGTTCTAGCCGATCAAGGCCCATGTCCGTTTTGGCGGTGAACACAATGAGGCCTGTGCTGTACATATCAAGGTGAGCCAGACCAGTAGGAACCTGCAATCCTTCACAAAGAGTCCTTATCGACAACTTTCCATGGCGTCAAACCCCTTGCGAGCCGTCATAAGGTAGCAGACCTTGACCGGTAGATTACGGCTGATATCTTCAACCTACAGCAACCGATGACGTTGAAACCGATGACGTTGAAGGCGCTCTTTGCATGTGTCTGCAGAAATGAGATGTAGTGACTGAGCATACGTAGTATGCATCGCGCAATCTGTAAACTCGACCTTCTCTGAGCCCCGCGCGTCCGTGCAAGACCCTGAGTGCTCACTTTACTTTACCCCTCCACGTCCGGCTTCGATCCACAATGCTAGACCGGCGAGACAAGCGAGACAAAATTCGATGCTGTGCGATGCGAAAGATAGTGGCAACATTGTTTTTGGTATTTCGGATGTCCTGCTCATCACACCTTACTCAAACTCAATCCTTGCCGGAAAGTCTGCTCCGTCAGCCAGAACTGTTCAAAGCGCAAGTTCCACTGGACTATCCTGGCAGTAAGCCCTAATAGCAATTGCTTGCCTGTGATTTTTGTACTTCTTTGACTTTAAAAGTTGGGAGAAAGCCCTGAGTCAGGCGCATGGGGCCCCGGCCGTCCATTTGGCGCTTGGTGCTAATCAAGAATAGGAAGCCATGATGTCAATCTGCCGATATGTAAAGCCACCGATCCGTCACCTCGGGCGGCTTCGGTCAACCGGCCCTCTCAGTCCAGTCCCGTCCTATCATGACCCGGGGGTTTGTTCATGCATGCCCGAAACAAACAGCTGGCCAGACGGTCTCGGCGAAACCATAGACCCTTCGAGCCCTGCCGATCACTGGCGGGTCGCGCGCATCTGGCAAAGAAGGAACCGACTTTCGGATCAAGCGAGGGCGAACGGATGGGTATCTTCAAGTGGAAAGTAGTAATTCGAGTGGTCTCGTTGCGCTTTTCCGAGCCGTTGTATCTTCATTTGAGTTCCTCTAAACCGTACGCCTAACATTATGCCTCATCAGCAGTACACACCGCCCCGCTGTCTACCTTATGCAGACACCTTAGGGCTGTACTTAGTCGCCGCCTTGTCGAATAGCGCACTCTTCTCCTCCAGGTCCACAAGGAACTGGTGCTGGGGGTCCGCCGCCTTCAATTTCCTGTGTCCACGTGGTTAGCAGGTCGACTCGACGCCTTGGTCGTGCATCGGAACTTACTCCGTGAACTCCTTGGGATCTTGGCCCGAAATCACCGTCAACACCAGAAGGTTGGCAATGGCTTCGGCATAGCCTGCGTCCTTGGCCAGAGCCTGGTCCAACGCTGCCTGTGCCTCCTCTGTGCGTCCAAGGTGCAGCTCAGCAACGGCCTGCGAGACAAGAGTTGCAATGGACGACGTTGCCGGCGCCTGTGCAAGCTCCTCGAACACGTAGAAAGCCTGCTGATACTTGTCTCCGCCCTGTACTTTCTTAGTCTCGTTCTTTCATTCGTGGTGTAGTTATCGTACCTGTCTCAGACCAACCCATGACTCGGCCAAGTTGACCAGTAAACTGTCCTGTGCCCATCGTCTCGCGGCGGTAACCTCCTTGAGGGCGAGGTCGTTACGGTTCTGTTGGAGGTGGATCTGAACAATCAAGGCAACAGCGTCCACTGCGAGTCCCGGGTCAGCGCCAATTCCTTCAACTAATGGGAGGCAAACGTACAGCTTCCCTGGTGCTGTGAAAGCAAGGCAAGAGCTTCCTCTGACTTGCCCGCAGCCTGCAGGATTGTACCTCCAACAATCTGGACTGTAGCGTTCTCCCCCTCGGATGCGGCGAGCTTCTCGATGGTCTTCACGGCAGAATCCGTCTTGCCAAGTGCGCTCTCAGCGAGCGCTCTAAGGGCGACCAGTTCGGGCTCCTTCTCTCCCTGCACGTCGGCGATGACATCTTCAGCTTGACCAAGGGCGATGCGGGCTCGCAGGACTAGAACGCGGGCGGGAAGCTCATTCTCGGAGGAAAGGGCAGAAGTATCGTAATCAATGACCTCCTGGTACTGGCCTTGGTGGAAGTAGTTGTGGACGTTGATCAATTCGCCTTCGGCAGAGTAGGGGTCCATCTTGGCGGTTTCGTTCGTTCGTTCGGAGGGAGGTTGTCGTTGATGATTGATGCCAACTGACGGGCAACTGCGATGTGTTCCCCTTGACCACTTAATTGATGTGGGGGCCTTTCAAGCAACGTGGAACCCTGAGAAGACACGGAGGAAGCCGTGGCCGGGAAGGTGGATCTGCCGGGTGGTCTGTGCGCCATGGACGACCAGGAACCAACAACACCAACGTCCAGACTTGATATTTGATCATCATCCAACAGCCCACCTTGAAGACGCAAAATATTGGTGCAGGATTATGAAACTCGCTATACGTGTGGTATGGAGAGATGAATGAGGCTCTCACACCTTGCACTGTCTGAGATATAGTTTCCCCGATATTATTCCAAGTTGAACGTCTCTAATGAGGTTCACACCATCTGTTTGACAAAGCAAAGCAGCGCTCGAAAAAATCACACCTTCAGCCAAGTGGCCGTAGATCCCCAATCCATAGAAGATTCAAGCTTCATTCGATCGCCTGGTTGTACTCTCAATGCTAATCAGCAGGTTTCACAACGTTCGTGGTAGTGAGTCCTACATATCATTATCCCCAGCAATAGCTACGGGAGGTAGCAACTTCGAGCATAAAACGAGGAAAAAATGAGACGATCAGCTTCTAGTAAAGGCTGTGGGAGCAAGGTATGGGAAACATTCTCTTATAGAGACCAGGGCCAGTGCCAGTGAACACTACTTCTGATTCTATGAGTATAGGACATATGATACACGATTGAAATGTCCTCTGAGGGACCCTACATGTACTCCTCTATGAGTATTACATACTTCTCAATAGTTCGAGGTCACAATGTCTGCATTGAGGGTGCGCATTGCATCTATAAAGGAGGTGCGCTTACCAAGTCAAGTGTCCAGCCCGAAAGATGGGGCAAAGTTCATCTGGAATATCGTCTGGAATATAATGATGAATATATCAAAGACAACAATGGTAGATTGGTTTTCAATTTCTTGCTTCCTGCCACCCAGGCACAGGTGCTCTTTCCCTCAATATTTGGAGAACTACTATGCCCAAGTTTACGCATCTTCTCTCATCACACTGCATCACTCTCGACGATCACAGAAGTATCACACCTCTCGAATCCCCCAGTCACTCACCAACTTCTCTTTCATGGAAGTCATCTTCACTCCGCACCTGAGTTCTCATCTTGTAGGCTTGGTGCATGGCCTGGCTCCCATGAACTTTCTTTACCTCGTACTGCTCCCTTTTGTTGATGAAGATTTTCTCCTTGTTCTGCTTAACGGCTTATTCTTCCGAACCGCTCACGTCAAATTCCGCTTCCATCTTGCCTTTCGCCTCTCCTTCGACTGAAGTTCTAACGCACATCACTCCGTCCGGACTCGAATCACCTGACCTACCCGTCTGGTCTTCCCGCTCATCTAACGATGGATTCTTTTGACCCGCTTGAATTGAGGGAGGGGGGCCCTCAGAAGCCTGGAGGGCCCCTCGAGCCCAGCGTCCTCGACCGGAAGAGGCCAGTGGCTCGATTTCCAGACAGCTTTTCTGCCAATCTCGGTCGCAAGACTTCCTCCTTCTTTCGTCAAGACGATTTCACTCCTGGATTCGACCAAAAACCCTCATCATCTCCTCCTCCCCTTCCCGAAAGCCAGGGCATCATTCATCGAAAACGAGACGTTTTACCTGGCTCACCTTCTTCATCGAGTACTCGCGATCGTCAAACATTCGT